GTCATCGTCACGCCGAAGCCAACAATAAGTACATGGCTGATTTTGACTTCAGCAAGGACGAGTCCTATCTGATGTATTATGACGTCAACAATTTGTCATGTCTAAGCCGTTACCACGTGGCGACTTTAAATGGTTATCGGAGCAAGAGATTGACGACATCGATTGGCTCTCGCTCGATCCTGAGGGACCTCATGGCTACATTATGGAGGTTGACCTACATTACCCTTCGGAACTACACCATGTTCATGCCTCCCTACCCGTTGCCCTAACACGCGAAAGCATACCCTATGCCGAGTTCTCTCCCCATCTCAAAGCTCTGTTGACAGAACTCAGGGTGAAAGGAGAAAAACCTTCTGGATCCAAACTTTTCTCGACGTTAAAGGACAAAACAAACTATGTCATCCACTATGAAACATTAAAGTTTTATCTACGTTTAGGTCTCAAACTCACAAAAATTCATAAAGTTATGACATTTTCACAAGAAAAATTGATGGCATCCTACATCGATTTTAACACAAAAAAACGTAAAGAGGCCACCGACGATTTTTCAAAAGATTTATTTAAACTTCTCTCCAATGCGGTCTATGGAAAACAATTATAAAATGTTAGAAATTATAAAGAAGTTGAGTGAGTGAGTTAAAGCTTTACGTCACATCGGCAATATTTCAGCCATATCATTAAAGAAGTTGAACTGATCACGGACGAAAACAGACTGAGACGATGCAGTTCAAAAACAAATTTCAAAAACTTAAAAATAATTTCAGAACATTTAGTGTCGGTGAATATGGATAAAGTATCAGTAACATTAGATCAGCCAGTGTCTGTTGGCTTCGTCATTTTAGAACACGCCAAACAAATTCTCTTGTCTTTTCACTATGATGTTATGGTGAAACAATATGGCGATCAACTAAAGTTACTGATGACAGACACGGACAGCGTATTTTACCAGCTGACATCTCCGGTAGGGACATTTCTCCGAGAGCCCTACGAGTTCATGCAAGCTCACCTGGAGCTCTTTGACACGTCAAATTATCCTTAAGACCACCCCCTTCATTCTACCATCTGACATAAGGCCATCGGTGTCATGAGGCGGGTGGTAAAGTGATTAGAGAGTTTGTGGGACTTCGTGCCAAGAATTATTCATTCATCTTTGACAAAGCACCAGGTGTCATCGCTGAAAAGCGTACAGCAAAGGGTATTCAGAAAAACTTTATTTAAAAACATATGCGTCATCAAATGTTCAAAGACTATTTATTAAACCATTCCAAAACGAAGGCCACCTTCCATCAAATAAGAAGTTTTAACAATGAATTATTTACCATCAAAACTACCAAAACGTCTCTCACCCCACTGGATGATAAGCGATATTTATTAAATGACGGCATCAGTTCGGTACCATACAGTTACAACCCAGGTCTATAATTTTGAAAGAGAGAGAGAGAAAGGGGTTATATGCCGTTGTATGCTGTTCCCCTGCCTCTGTCCCATGTGTTGAAAAGAAATGGTAAGCTATGTTCCAACGTCTATGTATTTAACATTTATTTATCTGTGATATTAAAAAAAAAAAAATCAAACAAACAAAGATACCACGCAAGTCTAGTCGTCAATGAAGATGCTTACACCAAAACAAAAGACACGTTCTCCAATGATGATGATGATGATGCTTACACCTGCAACCTTATGCAAGGCAACCAGGAACAAACTTGAGGATTATATCTTCGTAAGTATCATACCCATGCTCATGGGATTCACCAAAGTGGTTAACGTCTAAGACTTGCATCACTTCGTGGTTTTCTCCCACATTAAGTTGACATGCCGTGATATAACTTAAATATTCTTCAAAGCGCCGTTAAAACTCACTCGCTCACTTACTTTAGATTTTTATAATTTATCATTTAGCTGAAAATGTATTATATGTTTAAAAATGAGTTTCTATTCTTGTATGATTGTTTTATTAACGTTTGTGAAGTCTGTAGTCAGTCAGTCAAACAAAACAATAATTCCTTTTAATAGTTTTGGCACTCGACGACATGACAGCAATGAAGAGGGGAGCGCAGTACCGATGAACCACGTTTGTATCTCACCGATGACAACCCTAAAATGACTACAGCTACAACCACTACTTCTCGTAATGTGAACCCGTGTGGATAGCAATGTGAACTCTGTGATGAACAAAATATATAAATACAAGTTATGCATATCGTGTGTAAAAGAAGAAGAAGAAGAACATGTAGTGACTATAGTTACGTGTTCTAACCTTGTGTTTTAAATACATATCTTTGTCATTTCTTGTCCGTGTTCATTTTCGTGATTTTCCTTCCTTCGTCTGAAAGAAATATGTTGGAACGTGATACCGTTTCATTTACTGCAGAAAAGTCTCGTAGCCCACGGGTTGAGGAAGGGTGGGTATCGTTGATGATGACAATATTGTATAGCGAATGAAATTCGCTAGACTCGTCCTTGGTATCAAACGTCCCTCTCTCGTTATGATGTTATCCGTCTCATTCCATTTAACGTCATTTTGATTTAAAACGTTCCACAAAGCTAGCATGCGTCCAACCAAATGAGCATCGGTTACATTCTGTATGATATCTCTTATGATGTTTAATTCAATGTCTCTCGGACACGTTGACCAATCATCAAAAGTTGATGTATTGCGAGTTACTTGTTTATATTGTGTAAGGCTCGTCTTTTAACACTTTCCTGTATCGGTATATTTCCACGCAATAGGTTATAGATCATTTCGATGACAGATTTGAATTAGTTAGGGGAAGCATGAGATAACATGGCTCGTCTCTGCTTCACATTACCTTCTTGAAGTTGGGTGAGATAGTTCAAGTTGGCACTTATAAGATCAGTCATGTCTAAAAATCGATCTCGAAAACAGAAAATAATACGGTCCGTCCCAACAGTCTGGTAGGTCAACCCCACGTTTGACAACATGATTCAACGATACGATACACTCCCATTTCGTCTTATACCACTGTGGACTCTGCGACAAAATCGTCTGTGATTCACTGGGTGGGTAGGCTACACTGCACCAGGAATAGACTTTGCCCATGGCAGTGATGTAGTAAAATGAGAATCTTTCAGAATCATCTGGACCTTTTATAGTACTTCAGTCTTTTGGTAAATACACAGTACATATTTCATTGGGAAATATGCCCGTACGCAGTCGCCCGTACTGAGGGTCGTTGTAGGGACTAGCGTCTATGACGAGGTAGCCGTATTTCCTAATTTCCACAGCATCTCGTAATGATTCAGAGAAATATTTAGCTTGTCCGGGAAACATCTGAGTTGCTAAAATTTTATACTCGTGCGCTGAACGAGGGTTAGACATTAAAATAAACACGTGGGTGTTCAGGGATATACTTCTATTGCGTTCGCCTTTAGGATAGGCCGACTGTTGTATGGTAATGGTGGTGATGGCGAGATGATGGGACAAGGTTGTGTATACATTTAGCATGAGACGGCTTTTGCATACTTCCATCATTAAATCATCCAGCAATAAGACCATATTTTTATCAGATTGTTCAGACCAAGAGTACAGTTCCGTTCTGTCGGTAGGTTTTTCGTGAAACAATACGTTCGTTAGAGACGTTTGCATTTCGGTTACATGTCTTGCCATACTGCGTAACAGTACACAATCAAGTTAGGTGGCCTATTAAACGTCACATCAGCATTCTGCAAGATTCTTTTAGTCAGATAGGTTTTTCCACTGCAGGTACCACCAATTACCGAAATAGTAGTGGGTGTTTGTATAGGTAACAGACATTCTGTCTCACTCGTCGAGTCTGTATGCTTATACATCGTAGCACTACTCATCTGTCGGGACATGTTGTATTCGCTAACATTCAATCAGAACTAAATACCAAGGTTATATGCTTGCTTATGTCTCACCGCTTCATCTCTTACACCATTAATATGGTTTGGCTTTAAGATGAAATGTATGAGTAGTGTGTGGCGGATTAACAATCTTTTGCGTTTGGAGTCGGTTGTACTCGAACGTACAAATTGTCTCAATACGGATAAATAGGGATTGTTGGGGTTTCTTTGAAGAAACCTCCGCCTCTCATTTCTAGTCACGGCTAACCGGTTTTCAAGTAACCGCCTGACAATGGCTACCACCGCTAATAACTGCTCCCTGGTCATACCTACAATATCTTCGAAAATATCACGTCTGTCATTGAATGCTAATATGTGTCTCAGAAAATCGTAATGTCTTAACACATATCGCGCCATGGTCTTTCGCTTACGACGTCTCACTTTAGAATGAAAACATGAGCTCAAACAAACAGATTACATAGATGTTTCTTTCAATACAAAACTAAACATCCATGACTCTATGTTAACAGTTTATTGAAAACAGTGGACATTTGAAGTCATACAATTTGTAAATATAGACATATATATTGATTATACATAGATATCATTTGGAAGTTTATCGAGTGTAAAGGTAGATGCAATACCTTCGATTAATATCTCTGTATTACATTTCTGCAGCAAATAATATAAGCAATACAATCCGCAGACACTTGAGTTAGACTGCTGTAGCATTTGGGTGTTATCTTTAAATGTAATACAATGCTGTTTCATAAAACGAACTAAAGTCTTGATATTATTAACTAGGTGGGTGTAAAAAAATATCAAACACTTCTGCATTATTATTTGCAAAATACATGGCCACCCAATGTACAGGAACGATGAGTGATGAGTATACATCCCATTCACGCTGTGAATGTGGTTGCTGTATACTTGACAGAGTGTCCCGTGCATACACTCCCACCACACGTAGTTTGGGATCATTGTCAATGGCAAACCGTAGCTGTTCCATGTTTGTGTTGTTGTTTACTTAATTAAACACATTACGCGTTTGATCGACTTCTAGAAGGGCAGGTGACTGAGAGAGTACTATAGTGTTGAGTGTCCTAGTGAGAGCCGTCATGAATTGTACTTCGAGTCTGAGGTTACCCAATGTGACTAAGTTTAGATAACTATCTTCAATAGAGTGGTTCTAAATTGAAGACGAACAGGGCGTTGCCGAATTTAAACTCTGTTCTTTCTATATCGTTGCCTCTGTCCTCTCTCCAGGTGTTGGCTCCTTCAAACAAGTTGACATAGGCTTGTATGTCGTCTGCCTCAACCGGTCCACCAGGTACACTAACCCCATCTAGGTACGGTCCCACTGTTTTAATGATTGAACCCTGGAAGTTGAACGGATTTTGAGTGTAAGAACCGCTCACGCCCTCCCCACTGACGAAACCGACAACGACGCGAGTGGGACAGTGATCTAGAAATAAGTTGTCGAAGGTGTATCCAATCTGTGATGCACTAATACTAGCTTGTCTGATACTCGTTTTCATGTAAGGATACAGTGCATTGGCCGTCTCAAACTGTTTAGCATGGGCCAGAGCCAGTGCGTTATTCATTCTCAGCTTGCAAACTTTCAGATACACATCTTGCAGTTCTATTTTGTACTCTTTGTCACTAGCTCCAGACATAAGTGTAAATTGTGGACTGGATCTGAAGAGTTTGATACTGACATCGACTCCATTGACTAAGTGACGATTAAGCTTAAACACGTCTTCCAACAGCGGACCCGACATGGTTAAAGTTTTGCTTCCAGCAATAAATGGTGCTCGATTGATAAGACCATCATTTCCTCCACCCAATGGATCTGTAGAATCAAAGTCAGCAGTAGTCTCACCGGTATCTTTGTAAAACAGCTGAGATTGGAGTTGACTGCGTTTGGCTTCAGCACCGTATCCAAGCAACGTTTGGATGAACGCTTTGTAGGGATAGCCACAATTGTTGGAACTGATTAACTGTCCTTGCAGATACACAGCCATTTGAGAGATTGCATGAACAGGTTGACCTGACCTACGTGTTCTTTATCAGTCAGCACGCTTCCATCGTCATGAGTGACTCTCAATTTGACATGTAAACGAGTTCGTCTCAGATCTATGTAGTCACTTCCGCCGTTAGAGATAAGAAATTCCACAGGACTACCGTCAGAGATCGGAAAGCACAATTGTATTACATTGTCTGAGCGTTCCAGGGCCTGATGCATCAACCATTTTTTTTAATATGGAGTGTTACACTTAAGTATCCTATATGTACTGGTTGGTGTTTTACATCTAATACAGAAATTTTGAGGTCTGAAATAATACCACGCTTCAATTTTTTATATTGTAATGACGAGAAAGATTCCGTTCTACCGCTATTATATTTTTCATTTTTCACTGGAACACATCTGAGTAGAGTTGAAGGACTTTCTAGTTGAATATTATTTGTCGTACTGATTTGATCAAGATGGATACACAACTCTTTATAGGGAACTAAATCGGGTAATTTAACATCCAGATGTATGCCAATTAAGCGAAAAAATTCCCATGTAGCTGATTGTTCCAATAAAATTATATTTCTATGGTCGAATTTCACTGTCCCAGTCGCCTCATTTTGTGTGAGACTCATTCCATTAGGCTTAAAAATTTCATCATTTAGTGAGCTTACGCTGTAGTCCATCAGGTATAGTAATGCATTTGATAATATCACCATTTGTAGCTAATAGCATTATCCTATTATTATCTTTCGAGCATTTATATTGGTCCACCGTGGGTAATACGTTACATCGCATAGAGCGACTTCGAGCTGACTATCCGAGTTATCGATAGTACAAAGCAGTCGAATAGACTGACCATTTGTTATTCCCAGGAGTGTAACATACATATCAAATAAACAATGATACTATATCATAACTTAAATATGGAATCAACCATTATTTATAATATGGAGTGTTACACTTAAGTATCCTATATGTACAGGTTGGTGTTTTACATCTAATACAGAAATTTTGAGGTCTGAAATAATACCCCGCTTTAATTTTTTATATTGTAATGTTAAGAAAGATTCCGTTCTACCACTATTGTATTTTTCATCTTTCACTGGAACACATCTGAGTAGAGTTGAAGGACTTTCTTGTTGAATATTATCCATCGTACTGATCTGATCAAGATGGATGCACAACTCTTTATAGGGAACTAAATCAGGTAAATCGAGTCCCTGATCTGATGTCTTGAGTACTGTTATTTCTCCTCTCCATCCAAGTGTGTATGCTAAGTTCTCGTAAAGCTTTACATCTTTTTTTCCAGCGTTTAAAATCAGTAACCCATTCGACTCATTTTGTGTTAGACTAACTCCATTAGGCTTAAAAAATTCATCATTGAGTGAGCATACGCTGTAATACCCATTAGGTATAATGTATTTTTCACCATTTATTTCTGTCTCATTATTATAACCCCTTGTAGCATTTATATTGGTCCACCGTGGGTAATACGTTACATCGCATAGAGCTACTTCGAGCTGACCATCCGAGTTATCGATGAAGTATGAAGCAGTTGAATAGACTGGCCATTTGTTATTCCCGGGAGTGTAACATACATATTAAATATACAATGATACTATATCATAACTTAAATATGAAATCGAGACACATTACTAATCTATCGATTATGGTAAATTCCTATGGTACTGATTTGTTCATTAAATTCCCCGATATCTTTGAAAAGTACAGGGTCACGGCAACTAGCGATAAAATGGTGCACGATTGGTTTCACAATCAGATGCAATTTTGGCAGAATCAGTTAAACTTTGCCGTATAGTGTGCCACAACGGGATGTGGTGTATCTGTTAATGCCCCAGGATATATGCTAAATAAGTCTGTTTTATTATTTCACGTGTATTATCAGATTAGACGTATACTTAAAGAAATTAATGCTCCATTACCGCAGGATCGAGCGTGGAATTCCACAAATAATAATTATGATAGGTCCGCGTATGAGCGTATTTGTAATGAATTTAATGTTTCTATAAAGTAACGATTGGCGCATTAAAGGAGCAAACCATGGTCTAGGAGTTCCTTACACAGAGGAAAATATATCCGTCAAAGAAGAAAGCGATTATGTATATAAAACACTTAATAAACTTCCAGTTTATTGTGGTAAGTTGCGGCAGGACAGCAAACTTTACGCAAGAATATATGATCATTGGCATAAAACCGGTCATTGGTATAAAGGCTGGGAACTTTCGAGTAACGATTGGAGAGGGGATATTATGAGTCTTAAGAGTGGGTTAATTTATTTTGTTAAAAAATTTGTACAACTGAACGATGACGCTTGGAATGAATTTCTTAATGATAAAATGGAAAATAATTTTACTAACCCAGGATTTGTAAGATTTAATGAATCGATAAGAACTTATGTGTGGGCAATTCTCGGTGCACAATTGCAAACACGAACGTCCATTATCGGTACTGGGACGGCGTTCGATGCACAAAAACAGTTTGTCGCAAACGTGGAGGACGCCATTAATTAATCGTCTATGGCATACATCTATAAAGCGTTTTCAAGATGTATTACAGTACGCTCAATCCAAAGTGGACTACGTTTATGCTCCGGGACTATACATGTCTCCGAGTAATATGGAACTTAAGATCGGTCAAGTGATAGGCTATAATAATAAAATTGTTATCGCTACCGATCAACAAAAAACAGGTATAAATTCAGATATTAACGTCGAATTAATAACGCAAACAATCATGGGCGAAAAGGGAATAGTCAAGCCGCAAACACCACATGTTTCACAACCATCTACTGACGCACAAGTGCCACCGCATATTGATGCTAAAAATCAACAACATATAGATGAAAAAGCAGCGCTTGTAGTGGGTGGAGTCGCGATTGGTTTACTCATGATTTGGTTAGCGAACTGATTTGGATAAATAGTTCTTAGCGAACTGATTTGGTTAAATAGTTCTTAGTGAATACGTACAACAGCCCTGCGATTGCTACGATCAGCCCCCACAAGTTTTGACTAAGCCAAGTGGTGGTCTTAGCTAATAAATTCAATAGCCAGGAAACAATACTCCCTATTATACCGGGAAGTGCGGCCGTGGCTTTCTCAGCGAGCTTTCCCAGTGCTGAGCCTAATGCTTTTAAATGCTTTTTTATCCACTCTTTTATACCATCACTAGGCGGTGTGGGCGGTGTACCACCACCTGTGCCACCGGTTAACGTGAGAGTCAAAGTCGATATAATAAATCCTAACGCGGTTAAAATACTGGCAATTGTTATTCCCTGTTCTCTGAACAATGTTTTGATTTTATCGGCCAGTGTAGTGTCATCGTTGAGGACTTGATCGATAGTTTCTCAAAATTTGACTGATTTGCGAACGAAGTGCCTTTCTATTACTGGAAGCTGCTTCGAGGCGGGCCGATCTTTCGTCTTCTAAGTTATGCAATCTTTCCGCTACGCGGCGTCTGCTGAACTCATCGTCCGCCTGTTCAAGTTTTGTTTTCTCATAAGCTATATGCTTGTCGATTTCGGATATCTTGGCCGTATTATTCATGAGTTCTCCCCGCATTGTTCGCATTGCCTTGTCAAGACCTCGTAATTCCCTAATACTAAATTCCGAGGATGGTACCTGTAATGTTGAATTATCGTAATAGGTATCTAAGATTTCTTCAAGTCCGTCCGAGGCCACCTTCGAGGAAGCTTCCAAATTATCTGTGTTACCGAGTTTATCACGCACAGTCCTAAGAACCTTAGTAGTCTTCGTGGAAAGTCGTGAGTAGTCCACAAAACCTAATTCATCACGAACAGTGCCGATACCGTGTTTACCGGCTATCGTAGACAAGGCTAGGGGCTTATGAGTACGAGAATGCATAAGATCAATATCCGGTTCGCCACGCAGTCGCAATATTCCTTTACTATCTATCGTAAACTTTGAATAGTCACAAACAATAGGACTATGATCTTTAAAGGTATCGTAATAATCATTGATGGATAGTTTCAAAAGTGCATCATTGACGGTTGATTGTAAAAGTTCATCGTTAAGATTCATAAAGCTGGTTTCATCAGTATCTTCGATTGGATTCTGGTTATCAAAGTCATCCATTTTTTTATTAAACATAGGGTACATGTTTTCAATATAACAATGTCTTCGCAATACGGACGCAAGTTAAACCCACAACGTAGACTTCGAGATCCATTAGGGGTCAAAGCAATTCGTCAGTCTGTAACTATAACTAATAATCCTAGTACCATCGATCAGAATCAAACGCTTCTGGTTCACTTTCCTAATATCGGTGCACACGATGTGTTAGTTCCGGGAACTGTCCGACTGGCATTTACGTTTAGTTTGAATTCTACAGACGTTAACAGGCAGCCCGTTCAGAACATAGGTCGTGCTATCGTTAAGAAAATCGCCATTAAGATTAGCGGTAATGAGGTTTTGAGTATCGACGATAGCGATGTATACTATTGTTACATGGATCTCTGGAGAACGGATAAAGAGCGGGAAAACTTACAGTACCAAGGTATTTGTAATAAGAACACATTGAGACTGCGCGTGGGCGCTGAAAATGGTGTTGATACCAACGAAAAAGATAAGGCCGTTGCCGACACATTAGGTAACCGATTCTATGTTCCCCTAGACTTTGAATTACTAGATTCCCACATGCCTTTTTATCATGCATCCCTAGGCGATAGGTTAGAATACGAACTCACGTTTAATGACTACGTTAGAGTAATCAGAGCTGGTGAAGATG